TAAGCGCAGCAAGAAAACCAATCGGCATCGCGTAAAAGCGGCAACAATAAACTTCACATCTCCTTTTTAGAAAAGGATATTACTTATATATTATTTATTTAGCCATGAGAGATGGAGACGGTACCCTAAGGGCTGTGCCCATTATGAAAAGAATCAGAGAAAATGTTGCGAAGAATAGCATGTTTCTGAAATATTTCGGAACTTTTTTTTTTATTATTAACTATTGTATGTCTACATCTCGCTCAATAACGTAGTTTCTTTTAATAAAAAAAAAATCTAAGAGTGTAACATGCTTCTATGCTTTGATCCAGATCGTGCGTGCGCGCGCAATATTTTGTTTAAAGATGAGGAACACGTACAAGCGTTAGATCGAGCGGCATGCAAAGCTCTCACGTTCGCGAAAATCCTCGGGGGAGAAGCGGAAGTATACGAGATACCGTATACGAACGTCGTTCTTTCTGACGTTTCTCGCGTGCCCAGGGATTACGACACGAAATTCGAACGGAACTAATTTGCCCCGACCCCAAAGTCCCCGCAGTGGCGGATGTCTTCGGATCTTCGGAGCTTCTCCGACGTGCTACACAGTATAGTGACGTAACTAACGCTCGCAGGTATACTCCTTCGCATCGCGGACAAATTTACGATACCCTTCAACCTTTACCATCGACAACGTCGATCTCGATTACGCCGACGAATTTCGATACTTTCTCTTCCTTTTCTTTTCCTCTCTTTCCCTTTCCACCCCTTGATCTTCCCACATGTGTCTTCCTACGTGCAGGTATCTACGGGATGATGTTACCTCTATGGCGCGATGTAATTTGCGCCATAGAAAGATAAGAAGAGTGCAGCGAGGCGACGTTAAACATTAATAATTATCTGCAGTGGAGATATGAAACTTTAAACGCGATTTCTCTCATTTCACGTTTCACCTTCGGGACTTGTCCTGCGCTTAAATTAAAAACAAACTGCGCGCGTTGTGTTTTCTACACGGAATTTGTGGAGAATTTATAATACATGCGTTTACCCACTTTTATTCGACGTCGTTTTAGTCGTCTCCTCACTGCCGTGAGTTTATTCGTAAGAAAATTGAGGAACTCTTATTTCCAAACCGTCTCAAATCCATATTTAAAAAATATGGAAATCACGGGGAGCTTAGCAATGCGTAATCTTCACAGAAAATGCAGATCGTGCTTTCTCCATTTTTTAAAAATACAGATTTAAGACGGATCTATTTCCTACGGAAATTATATGTTACGAAGTTTCTGTTTTCAATTATGGCAGACGGTGTTCTTCCGCAGATTTAAAAGTAAATTCATATCATCTCACCGCGATGCGAATGGTTTCACGCCCCTATAATCGCAAGTGGAATCGTTCCTTTTTACCGCGACGCCTTATGTCCGATCTACAATAGCTGTAGTAAGCCTCAAGATGTAAGAAATTGACCAATCACAGTCGATTATTCTCTTCACATTCGCCTGTAATTGGTCAATTTCTTACGGCTTGAGGCTTACTACAGCTTACTACAGCTATTGTAGATCGGGCATTACAGTCCTTAAACATTAAATGGCGCAAACCGCAACTGTATAATTTCTCCGATCTCCGATGCGATTGGATCATACGTTACGATCTAAAGGGACGAGAACGTATGTATATATACACACATTCGCACGCGTATGTACACATACACATATATACATAAATATATGTGTGTAAGTGTAAATATATATGTATATGTGTGTGGTATATATGAATATGGTCTCGCGGCCTTATTTTACGTATTTTCACTCTTGTCCTCGTGCCGCAGATCGCAGCTTTTGTCGTTCTCTTTTCGTCGCACCGTCCGTAGATTCAGGTCAGCCCCGGTCGTTGCTTTTGCAGCAGTGTACATCTCACCCGCCCCCCCCCCGCGGCCTCTTTAACCCTTCTGCTATTCGACTACCACGTCGCGAACTCGCGTTCATTGCACTCCAGACGCAGTTAGCGCATCGCAGTCGGGAAACGCGCCAACTTGCTCGTATACGCGCGATAAAATAACTATATAAAAATCGTTTTTACGTCGTAGTGTCGTTCAGTAAGGTCGGATAAATCAGTTCATGTGGTTAAATATGTGCTTTAAATTTACATGTGGATTTAACAAAATGCCAAGAAACGCGGTAGCTATAAGAGTATGTTTTGTACATAATATACCACTTTATTTTCCAATTTACCAACTTAACAAAGTGCATCGCATTCTTCTCGGAAACTCGAAATTTCAAACAGATTTATCAAAAAGTAATCTCGAAGAGATTTCAAAAAATATATTTATATATAGTTAATACTTCTTTTAGATTATTTTATATTCATAATCTCTGCTTGAATCAACTTTTAATAGTTAATTCTTAAAAGAGACGCGTATAAAATTGAAATTTCTCTTTTTGCGCTTCTCCAATGCTGATTAGTTTTCTTGTTTTGTTTACTTTATACAGCAAACAGCTGTCATGTTGTGCATTTTAATATCTTGAATAAAACAAAATTACCTGCTATGTGAGTAATTTTATCCGTGATTGAAAACTTGATTTGTTTTTGAAGATGGAAGGAAATCATAGTACGCTGGTCATAAGTTCGTACCAACGTACACGTGTTACTTCGTACCACAAACAACTGTCATTACGGGAATTGTATATTTTGACAGTTTAATAAGCGTTAAGGATTTATATTTGTGCGAATTTTATTAAAGTCAAATTTAATATTAATTCGAGAATAGAATGATATATGTATAATATTAAACATCCTTTTATAGTAGAAATATTCATTTGTATTGTTGTACATTTATAATACCTAATCAAAATGTATTAACAATGTATAAAAACTGAAATCCCAATTAAAGATGAAATCATCAATTTATCATAATTGATATAATTTACATAATATCTACATGTAATCAAGTTAAAAAACAAAACCCCAGTTAAGTAATAAAAAAGTTAATATCTGTATATCTATAATAACTATAATATGGACTGAAAATTAATTAGTTTGCGTTAAGCATAATTATTTTGAGCGCGCAGAGAAACTTTTCTCGATGTTAATATTTAACTTTAATCGTTTATAATTTTGATATCAATGCAATCTTTATAGTTTTACGATTTTCGAATCTAGTTAACTCAAAATTAGAACTATGTAAATGAAATATTTTCTTTAATATTTTATTTTATAGCGTATCTTTATTCTATAAAAATGCAAAAATTTGAAATAATTAGCTGAAAATTTATGTGAAAATGAGTGAAACTAATATATTTATCTACTACAAATCGTAGTGTGTACGATTACGTACGTAGTGGTACGTGTACGTACCATAATGACAACTGATTAGTCCTCATATTAAAAGTATATAATACAATATGTTTGTATCAATAATATAGTTTTGTTTTAATATTAGTAAAATCTATCATGTGCGATTAAACTAATAGGAATAACGTATTCTTTGTTGCCAGTGATTTTAATAACAAATAATAGAAAATTACTGAAATATTTAGGCGAACGTTTTATTCGATTCTAAAATATTTTAGTATTGATGTCTTCAATCTTACTAGATTCGCGAGAATTCTCAGCGAAGGACAAGCTATAACAACTGGCAAGTGACTGACGCATTATTTCTTCGTTACTTCGTAGTTATTATCAATTATTATTCCTGCCCGACGTGCACGACATTCAATTTTACGAGCCATTAGACATGAAGTTCTCCAAGCGGGCGCGTACTCCGCCCTCGCAGTTTCTGGTTTAACGCTCCTTGGAATGTCGAAGAAACGCGATCGGTTACGATGAGAGACAAGGCTCAAGCATATTACTCACAATCGCTCGCATCTCTCCTTCGGAACATAAAATGTTCCAGGTCTAATATATTATTTATTTATACATTCTTTGATTTGAAATCGAATTTTGTTTTCCAAAAGTGTCTTCTTGAGAATTTCTCTCATCATTTGTCCCGAGTTTCCAATCCTCAATTTCTAAATTAAACAAAGAGGTATTTTACCATCTGTTTGAATTTGATTTAAGTTCTTCAGTTTTAGTCGCTATAACTTTAGAATTATTAATCATCTCTTTCCCCTTCTATTAAGAAAATTTCTATATTAAATATAGTACAAAATTCACAAATAAAATATCTCTCTTTCTCCCTCTATCGATGTCTGATGGGACATTTTATACACTTAAAAAATTCTCTAAAAAAGCAATTTCAAAAACAAATCCCAAAGAGCTGATTAATCATTGAGCGTTGAAACAAGTTGGGAATTTACGGAGGATTTTAGTTTTGCTGGAATTTTACATTTCAATCAATGACGAATTAATTACGGCACTTCGGACTTATTACGCGCCGCACTCACACGAAAACAGGCAGACATGGATACAAACGCACACGTCGAGACATGACACAGCAGTCTCGCGGCGTATAATTCCTCCCGTCGCCGGTATTGTTTACTAACTGAAAGGTAGAATTGTTATAATAAATTAATTGGCGCTGTTGGCGCCGGTTATTGCTGTGTAACTCGGCTCGTTACTACGCGACGTATTGTCGTCGCGCTCGCAATTACGGGGCTTTACGCCATGAAACTCGTCGTCTTTACGTACGAATTAGCATATCGTTATCTTCGCTGCGTACTGTAATTAATTTAATTCGCGTGATCTCCGGATTTAGCGATCTCCTCAAGCAAGTCGTGAATTCTATCTTGACGTATAAAAATAATTTCTATTTTGTCGTTTCTTAGCGTCACTCATTTTATTATTACCGTTATTATTTATTATTTTAATTCAACGGAATAGTGTATTCATTTTTTATTCATTTTGCAGAGAAACATTTTATTAGCATTCAGCTTAATAAATTTCTTGAGAAGATTTGCATGTAAAAGCAGAGAATTTCTTGCTTGCACAAACAAGGGCTGTAAAAGCTTGCTGCTCTCGTTGTTATTGAGGAATCGGGTTTATGAGTTAAGCAGTGTAAAGAAGAATTAAGTGTCGTAGAGACTTACCTTAGACAGCTGCCTTTAAGGGCGTCTGGGCGAGAAGAGAGTCTCTATTGGACGGTTCCCTGTAAAAAAAAATCGTATATATATTATTCTTTTATTTTTATACTCCCACACATTGTTTTACATAAAATACTTTTTTGTTATATTTCTAATACATTTTATTATTATAGAAGAAATTAGCGGAACAATTTGATATTTTCAAAGATATGCTTCTCACGATTTTAATATTTCGTTTTTCTTATCATTCTAAACATGACACATGAATAAATAATGAATTTAAGTAATTATTTTTATCATGTTTATCATGTGACTTTTCGGAATCATCGACTGGATATTGGACTATAAAATTCTGTAAAATTTGTTTTTGCTTCTTAAAGCATTTCATGCTTGAATATTTACAAAAAGAATAATGACAAGGATGATAATAAATACGTAATAAAAATCTTTTTATCTAGTATTTTTAGACATTGGTAAAAACTTAGACGTTGTAAATCTGACACGTGAGAAATAAATGCGTTTTTGTAGCATTTAATTTTTATAACACTTTAAACATTTTTTTAAATACAATTATAATAAACATAAAAAATACTTATTAAAACAAACTCGTATGTAAAACTCATGATATCACAAACACCAGAATCTCCCATACCAGTGAATTATAAAAAATTCAATTTTTTGTTGCAACTTATAGTTACAGAAAACGCAAAAAATAAATTTTAAAGTGTCGTTTAAATTTAATACGAGCACTAAATTCTTATAGCTATAAAAACTTTTTTGATTTTTTTATTCTCGCACAAGTTGTATACTTTTTGCTCCTTCAAGTTGAGAAAACTTCCTCAATTTACATTAATAATGTATACGTATGTGATAAGTACAAATGCGAAATAAATGTAAACTGAGATTGTCTCCTATATAATATACAAGTTTAGTGGAACTCTCGAGAAAATACAAATACATTCACATACACCTTTGATGCGATGGCCAAAGTGTTAATAAAGTGGTAGACCGTAAAGGGATGCATCATACATGGGACTAATGGCCGGTAAAACTACGACAGTAATACTGCACGAGCAACACAGTGGCCAGCGTGTTCTCGATGAAGCATAAATCATAACACGACGGCCGCTAAGACCATTGCTGAAGCGGTTTTGCGTCAATTATTCTTGCTGCGCCCGCGTTGTCACCTAAGAGCGGTTATTAAACTTTTCCTTCGCCGCTCGTTACTCGTTACCTCAATGCGTTCTTCACATTTTTTGCGTTGTTAAACGTTACCAACAGTAAAAGTTGGTTCGAATCGTGTAAAGGACTATAATATGTATTAGTTTTGCGAAGTTTCTATTTTTCAAGATTTCACAACAATAAATTATTATATAAAATTTTAATTTTAATGTTAATGAAGTATTTTCATGAACACGAGCTGAATTTTCGCGCATAAGTTAAAAAATAAATGGAAAAAGTTGTATTACAAGAGGTTGTTTCTATGGAAATTACATAGAGGAAATTATACGTATCTATGTATATGCATAATATCTAGAGAGATATCACAATATGAAGATTTTTAAGATATATATTACATGCTTCATGCTTTATATTATTTTTTTAAATTCCGATTAGGTCGAAGAAAATTTTTCTAGTAAAAAGGTGGAAAAGGTTTTCGAATATTAACGTTAAACGCTTAATTAAATCAAAATATAAATTTATATGAATGCAGTAATGAAAAATTAACATTACGAAATTGCAGTTAACATTCGACATGACACTTGTTACATAAAATATTGAGTCGCATCAGGCATTTAGTGAGAGTTCTAATCGCGCGATAAATTGTGTGTCGACGAGAAAGAGATCTGAATAGAGAGAATACGGAATGTCTATGAGATTTAATTGATTAGATATTCCCTCTATTCACTTCTCTTTCTCGTCGACAGTCTTATTACACGATTAGAACTCTCACTAAATATCTAATGATGTGACTCAATATTTTATGTAACGAGTGTTACCTACGTCGAATGTTAGCTGTAATTTCATAATGTTAATTTTTCATTATTGCATTCATATAAATTAATATTTTATGCTCAGGTAATGTATTCAGCATATAAGCCAAGTAAACACGTAAAATCGATATTTTTCATTCGCCCTTATGTCATTACCAAAAAATATGTTCTACGATGGAGCAACAAGCATGAGCGTTTCTCACAGATGCGCAGATTTGTACGCAGATACGCCAAGACGAGATATAAGGGTAAAGTGTACAAAGAATAAGAGATAAGTATAGGGTGTTTATCTTAAGCTTTCAAGCAGCATTATGTCAACTTTCTAAAGAGAAAAAAATTCCATACTGTTTTATGAAAAAGAGAAATTCCGTATAACAAAGAAAAGAGGAGAATATATCGTCAACTATAAAAAACGATTAAAAAGTAAGCTGCAATAACAAACCTTTTACAACGCACTCTTGCACTATATATATATGTCAGCATACGGAGAAAATATTGTGGTAAAGATTATACAATGTACATATAACGTCTTTTACCCTGGAATACTGATATTATAATGGAAATTACAATATTTTTATTCAAAGATGTTGTATGTTCTATATTTTATAAAAGAATATATGATTGTAATTTTTCGATTATCTATAACAATTTAAAACAAATAAATTTCATCGAAGAAATTTTATAACCTGAGGACAGTTGACTATATACAAATTGTATATATCACTATGTTTCTAGTAAAAATCGCAATATCAGTACAATAACTTTTTTGAAATAATAAAATTGTCAGTTTTCATAGCACAGATTATAATATAACTTTTTATAACATAAAGTAATTTCAATTATTTAACATAATAGTAAAAATATATTATATATGTATAAAGATTGTTAATTTTCCTAGTAGTAAATATAATATTGTTATACTCTTGCTTCACAACAAAATGTTGTAAATATATTTTTTATCCAATTTATCCTGCAATATTTTCTCTGTGCTGAACGATATGTCGGAGAGGTTAAATGTCATTAAATCGTGTCGCTGTCACGATGACTGATATAAGTGATATAGAACGATTCGAATAGGTTTACGGATATGTCCACGTGCCGCCGTGGAACCGATGGTCACTGACATAAAACTCACTGGAAAATCTCTCGTCACGTATCCCGCCACGGCCCGTTATTGAAGAGCTAAAACGAACCGTAAAGAATCTCCGGTGTTCCTTTGACCTGGTCGATTTATAAAGGAGTCGCGAGAATGGAGTTCGCAGCCGCGATCTAATAAATATTAAATATCCTCCGCCGACTGCTCCTCGTTGGGCACTAATAAATTTCAAATTATATCGACGTGCGCGACAAATTTCGTCCGCGTATTCATCATTGATACACTTTTAGAGTCCCGTTAATAATGGAGAGATCGATAGGTAATGAGAACGGTCCAATCGCTATCCTAATGTCGCAATTTTACAGTCGACCATGCTCTATGTTATTTGATTTGGACAACCGTAATAATGGAATTATTACGGTCCTTTGTGTCGGATGTTACGGTGAAAATAGAAGCTCCAGAATTATTAATATTAAATTCTCCGTGGTAGAGAATATACGCGCAACCCCGTTGCATCTGTACTTATTTTTGTATACATAATCATGGGATAACGCAATTTGTCATTAAATGAGATAGTATAGTAATAAAATGATAATAAGATAATATAATAATACGATGAGAGAATTATTAACAAATAAAAACATCCAGACCGTTCGTTTTCGTTGTCTCGTAAATTTCATAAATTTGCAAGATTTTATCTACGGCTAATATTTCTTTCGTTCATCCATTGCGAACCCAAATGTGTTATCTTTAGCTGAAGTACTTCTTACATATTTCTTGCCGTTTTAAATAATTTAAATCAAATCATTTAATACAATTGAACATATTAACTTTTAATTTAATACGACTAAAGATGTTAAATGACGTTTAATTTAACATCACGCAAGAAGTGTGTAAAAAGTGATTCAATCAAATGTGTCATTTTTACACATTTATCCGTGTACAAATAACTGCACTTGGATTTGCAATGTCATGACTGATATTTCTTTGTATTCATACTGATCTGTAAAACGCAGTATTAAATTTTTCAAGGCAAAGTTTCGAGTAAGAAAATTGTTCTCTCGCCTAAAACCTTGCTTTCGTCTTTATAGCGGTCGCTTTGCTAAAACAGTTGCGACAGATAAACGGTAAACGAAACTTGACATGAGAAGGACAAAAGAACGTCTACCGTACTTTTCTTCGAAAGCTTCGAGTCCTGGTTTCTCCTCTCTTGAGTCCTTCAAACATCTGAGTACTGAGAGCTCCCTGAAAACTTCAGGCTCCGCATCGACCGGAACTGAATTGTACAAACTGAAATTTTCGTCGAAATCTGTAGAGTATTCTCTTCGGAAAGCGACACCAGAAATACCGCATGTATTACCTGACTTGGCAATTAGACGGCAATTTTTTTTTCAAAATAACTAAAATAAAAATTGTTAATCCGGCATTTAGGTACATGGTATTTTAAATACAACGTGTACTAAGCAATTTTAGTTTTCATCATTGATTTTACAACTGCACGAAAAAAAATTATTCCAATAATTCGTTACGTTATATTTTTGATTAAATTCCGCATCAATTTATATGGATGTATACAATTTTACTCGATGTATACAACGCATATTCTATTCGCTAAAAAAAATACGTATTTAAAAAATAAATCATAGTAAAAAAATAAAGAGAAAATCTTACAGGGTTATCGGACAATTTTTACAGAGGCGGTGTAAATTCAAAGGGGCGAGTTCCATCTCGGATATTGATGATGAGAATTGCGACATCTGGCAGCGCCTTGGGAAAGGAAATATTCGCCGATTATTGTAATTGGCATCTAAATAACCGAGGAAAACTTCGAGCTGTTGGAGACGCTGCTCTCATTTAACGAGAGGTAAGGGGGAATTTGCTGACAAGAAAATTGCGTTGAGTGGCAAGCGGTTAGAGAAAGCGTCCAACGACAAGTACTCCTCTCTTCCTCTCCCTCTCCTTCTAAAGACACTTT